AGAACTCTGTTAAAGTAATCCTGAAGGTTATTAGAAAGTGGTCAAAGAGGACAGGGTTGTGAGGAAATACTGTTATTTCTTCACATTCTATGCCGTATGTCAGTACAAGGTTCAAAGTATGAAGATGAGAATGTGTGGGACTATTCACATTTTGAACAAAGCCAATAAATAGATAATTCTGTGGGGGGGAAAGGAATTACTTTAGGGTTAGGATTCATTCAGCAATAAAAAAAAAACCTACTGAGCCTACAGGCACAATCTGAAGCACAGCTGTTTACTGTGTAAACTAAGACTAAATCAAACTGAACCCCATGACGATGAGCAGATTCCATGTATTAGAATGTTTTTAGACTTCATTCTCAGCTGCTGGCAGATGATTAACCACCATTCAAAAACTACACCTGTGATGTTAGTGAGGTCATAACAGCCTATGGTAAGCCATTTTTTTTATGTATCACATGAAAACATGTGATCTACAAAACTGAATATGCATTTCTGATATCTGAAAAAAAAAATGTTTCCTTGTCAAAATGATTTCAAACAAAATGACACTCTTCACATCTACAACAAATATTCTGGATGTCTACAAATTAGATTCAGATCTACATAATTGTATTGTTACTGGTTTTCATTAGTATTATTTTGACTATGAAGAAATGTTTTTCCGATATCAGAAATACATAAGTCAAGCTGATAAATTCCAAAACTGTAATTTAGAAAATATATTATTATAATTAAGTTTAGTAGTTTGCTTTTGTTTAGCAACATTTTGTGATGTACAAATGGAACAACAGAGAGGAGAGTGGTTTTAGTAAATGTAATAATGGCCTGCTACAGTACGCTTTCACTGTGTTTATTCCTCTCATCGAGGACAATATTGCCTGATCATATGTAAACATTTGGCCGTTATGTGGCAAAGTAAAATGGGGGGACCAAATATTTCAGGTGTCTATGATATTATGTTCCCCCTCCATAAAATGCAAAGCGATTATTTACCTGCAAGGGTTTCACTGTGTTTAATCAAAAACAATAACCCCTGTTGATATGAAAACTTGCACTCTATGTGCCAAAATTACATGGGGGGAACCAAATATTGTTCAAACCATAAAAAACATTGGAGAGAAAGCTGTGCAGTTAAGAGTTTTTTGAGGAATAGGTGGTCAAAGGTTCCCGCTTTTCTAACATTTATGCTAATTGCAAGGCAGCCTAAGGATAAAGAATTACTACATGTTATACTAGACTGGCCTGATTTGTTCTATGATATTGTATACAAGCATAATGACCAAATTTCTTATTTAATTTAAATGAAATGCAACAACCTTATCAGGAGAAGGAGGTGACTACAGTATCACCGTTAGATTTAATGGAGAAACAACTGTAGAAATCCGTACGGATCTGGAATAAGACTGTGTCCCAACCTGACACTTAATGACGCTCTGTAATCGAGGTACTTTTTCTCCAACACTAGAAAATACTAATGCCTTTGGCATTTAATTTAAATGAATCTTAAACAGCACTGTGTAGGGGTGCTGGACTTATACAGACTCCCGGGTGGAAACCTGTGCGCTCTCTCCAGCTTGACATGGTCCAGTTTAATATCCAGCTGCAGGATCGTGAGAATCCAGGATTCCGTAAACTTACTTGGGTTTGTCCCCTACAGCTTCTTTTGGAAGCCAACACTTTCTCAAATTTTTGCATGGCCACTATTTTCAAAGTCTTGGAGCTTCTCGGATAGTTCCTTTATAGTTTTTTCCAAGACTAGCAATGTCTCAGTCCATCTCAATCTCAGAAGAGGCGGCCTCCAATACAAGAAATGTCTTTTTACTCAGAGTACTAATATTGATATTGTGAAACATCTACTCTAGTTTACCATCCATAATAGCTGCTAAATTCTTTGTGCAACGGAAGCCATGCTAGCTTTCGCATCATCGGGATGCCGGGGGTGCATTTTTCTTCTTTACAAATGGTAAGGAAGAATTTTACCCACTGATTTGCTGAGGAATTAGTCTAGGGACATCACATGGGGTGCGAATGTCTGTCTCCTTGAACCCCAGTCGGCTGATTATGTGAATTGGAGCTACAGAAAAAAAGACAATTTTTCGGAAAAAAACAAAAATCAAATCACCCATTACGATCAACTACAAAACAGGATTATGAAATAAAGACATACAGTATGCTTTTAATATATAATCAATACATTTTTGCAATTTGATTTATGTATTGATTCATCTTACAAGTTATTCAATTCAGTTTTCAATTCAGTTTATTTATATAGGGCCAATTCACAACACATGTCATCTCAAGGCACTTTACACTTCAACCAGATCATACAGTCAAATTGATTCAAAGTTTTCTATCTAATTATTCAAACAGTATTACACCTATTTTCATCTTTTTTCAAAATGATTACATATTGGAACATCTGACCTAAATTACACCAGACTACACACACACAAACGCATATGAATTTAAGTCAGGTATTATAATTCAAGAGGTTTATGGTGTGATAGTTTTATTGCTTATGACAAAGTCATCTTTGTCATTAGCAATGAAATTACGATCAGAAATGACAGACAATAAGCAAGAGATTGGTAGGCCTCATAAGCAGACGGAGCGGGGCAGAGGATGCTGAGCCCCATAAGGTGCAGAGGTTGCCAAGTTTTTCTCAAATCCAATCTCTACCAAACTCCAGACTGCTTTGTGAGTTTGTTTTCAGAAGCGTGGCCCCTCAGGACCACGGAAAGAACATCTTCAGACAACCCAATCCTCCCAATGTTGTAGGAACAGTCCAACCAAAAGTAGACTACTTCTTCTTCCAACATGACTGTGGACCAACGCGCAAGGTTTGGTGTACATGAGCCGCGTTGGCATACACAGACTCTAACAGAGCACCTTCTGGATAGATAAGACTAGAGACTGAGAGCCATGTTTTCTCTTTGAATCTCAGTCTATGATGTAAAAATGTAAGAAAAGGGCTGTGCTATATTTATTAGACTTTAATACTACTGCTGTAAGGAGTGGTCCACAGCAGGAGCAGTGTCCCCCTGGGACACTGCTAGAGTGGCCTGCTCCGGTAGAAGGCTTGGGTCAGTTAGGATGGCTGTAGTGGTACTTAGGAGACGGAGTGAACTCAGAACCACTAAGAGAACAAGAGAAATAAAAATAGCATGGGTTAGAGCTTAGTGGACCAAACAAGTTATTAGAGTAGAGGTCTCCGATGGGATTGGCATTGCAGTTGCGACAGACTCACTGGGTCTAAGCGCAGGCAAGGCACAGTGCTGGTCCAACCAGGAGAGAGTGGATCGACACAGGTCTTCTGCACTGGCTGTAGAAACCATTCCATTATAGGACTCGAAGAGAGGCTCGATGATGATGCTGAACTGATACTGAGTTAAAGAAGGACCTGTTTCAGCACCAATGGTTTCATTATTGGCCCAATTTGGTCTAGAAAGCCCACTCTAATTACATAGATCCGGCATGTCAACCAGGATCTCTTTGATAGACTCAAATCTTTCAAACTGATTCTATCCCATTTAACCAAACATTAGATAATTTGTACATGAACAGATATTGAAATATACATAGGTTTAAAGACAGGCAGGCTTAATCTGTCAAAACAAATATAGTCAAAACTTGGAAAATATCTGCTCCTTTTCTATGCTACATTCCAGGTATCCCCTCTTCTACCTATATCATCAAGCATCAACCTGATAACAATGCCCCTTGATTTGGCATTCATAATGCTTCATACACCTTGTAAAGGTTTTTGGACACCTGGATGTCCCTTGTCACTGTTTTTTCAGATTTCGACGAAAAACACCTCATATACAACAGAACTAAATATCTAAATCACAGTGATGCTACTTTAATTAAAGAGCCACATACTGCTGTTAGTTCTGTTTTGTTATGTTTACATTTTAGTATTATTACCACTAATAAGCAGTGTTATATTTTATTAAGGATAAATGTGAAATGTGGTAAATGTGAAATATATAAAATGGTTAATGAAAATCGGGGAAAAATATACTGCTCTGTATCTGGCCCTGTTGGGTTGTTAAGTTATAAAACAATAACCCAAGCTGTTAGAAAAAAGAGCAGAGCCCAGCTGCAAACCCACCAGCTGAACTGCTGCTGGATTTGCAGCTGGGCCAGCCCACCAGTTTGGGCAAACTGATGCCCAGTTTGCCCAGTTTATCTGTTGATGAAAACAAAATGAAAAACAATTGAATTTTTACAGCCAAATTAACTGTCCACCATGGCAGTTCAGGTAAGAATTAGTGGAGACCTGTGAGAATTATTGTAATTAAGGATGTATTAAGCACAGGGCAATTATAAAAGAAAGACAAAAAACGAGTCAGCCAAGTATTACAAACCTAAACATTCAGTTTTACAGAGCTACACAGGAATTATTCATGAGTGTGAATGGCCCTGTCAAAAGAAAATGGCTGGATCTAACAGAGGATCCAGGGAAAACTTGAACACTGCTGTCACTGATCCATAACAAGCTGATTGTTTTTGAGCAATGTTGATAAAAACAGAAAAAGAAAAAACAAACAAGAGGGGCCAGATGTTTGAAAGTTCAAAAAAGGGGGAGCTATATTGAGTGCACAATTTTTCTATGGCAAAAAGCGGCAGTGTTGCAGGTGATCTAAAAAGATTGCTGCACAAATGTTGAGACATACAGACAACTTTGCTTTCACTCCATTGAACTTAGCAGATTGCATGGTCTAATATCAGTTTAAGAGTGTACATAAAAGGAGGATGAAGTTCTAAGCCATGTGGTTGGAGCTAATATTAAAATAATATACATGTAGCACTCTACATAGGTAGCCTTTCTAAAAATTGTATAAACCAAAGAAAAATTTAAATGATGAAAATGACTAAAGACAATTATTAAAAAAAATTAACAACTCTCCATCCTTTGCTGTTTTTTTGGCTATAATGATCGCAAATATTTTATTTGTCGGTTTGAAACCTGACTTTCAGAAGCCCTAAAAAAGTAGTTGGGTTTTAGATATGGAAAATTGGTTTCCACATGGTAAATGTTTACATTTGCACATCATTTACCTATGAAAACAGACAGTTTGGTCATTGGAATATGACCTGTATACTGAGGGAGGCATACAGGCAAAAACGTTTGCACACAGTCTGCTTAATTGCAAACGCAAACCACTGTGTACCTTCTGTCAGGACTCGGCCTCGACCTTCACAGGTGTCTGTCGTTCACTGGTGGGCGGGGCACGCACACCTGCAAGTGGTTCAGCAGCACCGGCCCTGCACTATTTGAGCAGTGCACAGACAGCGGGAGGACGCCAGAGTGTTACCATTGCGGTATGCCTGATCGGCCGCAGCCTCTCGCCTACCTTTTCTCTTGCTCATACTCCTGCGTTTGTGTCTCCCAGGTTGTCTCTCGTGAATCATCGTCTCCTCTCGTGGCGGATCCTTCCAGGTCCTCTCAGGAGTATCGAGGTTGGTCACCCAGTCTCTGGGTCCCTGGCCCCCCCGTTTCTCCCTGGTTCCTCCCGCTGGTTCTGATCCCCGGAGGCTGCTCGGACAACTCCTCATTCCCCCGCTCTCTGGTCACGCCACGCCTGT